CTCTGCCCCTGCCACGACCTCGGCCGCGACCACAGCCTCTCGCGGCCTTGACTGGTGGCACTAGTTGTTGTCCGTCATGCCCAGTTGCACGTGTACTTACCATCTATGAGAGAATAGAATAACAGAAGTTTAGTTACCAGTATCAACAGATTCTCACGATAAGAATTCAAGAATGTGCAGTTTCCTAAGAGTTCTGCAGCCTCCCAAAGATAAGTACAAACGTCTCTGTACCAATCCACGAGACTCTACTAAACCCGCTCATGACTCGTGAGACCTATGTAACCTAGGCTCTGATACCAACTTGTCACAATCAAAACTCAACCATCGTGATGGCGTCTATCGTGGAACTAGTCCATCCTCACTCAACAAAAATAGCAATAAGTTTCAAAATAGTAACGAAAGCACTAAACATAAAGGAAACTATTTGAAACATAAGAAAAATCCCAAAGTGATACAATCCAGCCCAAAACCAGGGTGTCACTGAGTACATGAGCGTCTACTCGAAATACAAACCACTACAAGGTCTAAAGGAAAACAACTGAAAGTACATCAAATGATAAAAGAGGAGAGTCAAGGCCCGCGAACGCGGTGCAGCTACCTCGAAAGTCTCCAAACCATGAAAATGCTCGATCAGCAATCGTCGCCGTCAACAAAGTCGCCTGGATCTGCACACAAGGTGCAAGGAGTAACGCGAGTACACCAACTCAGTAAGTAACAAGTCCAAACTTTGGACTGAAAGGTAATGATGAACTCAACCTCAACAGATATAACATATTAATGTGCATAAACGTAGGCATGCTTTCAAGTAAAATAGACAGCTCAAAGCAATAAGGTAAATACAGATCTGAACAGTGTAAAGTATACAGCTCCTCTATCTCTCTCAAGTGCTCAACCACTCGGTACTGTATACGGCCATCCGGCCCAGGGAAATCCATCCCGGAACATACACAACACTGACTATAAGTCACCCAGTATCGAGGACAAAAGGGCAATCCAACCGTATGGAGAAATCCATCTCCAGGTGTCAAGTACTTCGGACAAATCCATGTCCAGGGAAATCCATCCCTCAATAATATCATCCGCGCTCACTAGGAGTGTGTTACAGACTCCGGAGGGTTCCTTCAGCCCAAGCGCTATCATAAATCAATATAATCGATGCAGCGTGCAGCCCAATCCTATAACTATCACTTATAATCAAGCTCTCAGCCTCACTCAATCATCAACCTCTCCAGTCTCACCACGGGCTCACAATGTCATGAAAACAACCCGGAAATTTGATATGATGAATCAATAAAGGACTGAGACTGAGATATGACCTAAAAATGCATGATCATGACTGAGTATGGAATACTAAATGTAACTAGTGAGATGACAGCAAGAAACGACCGCTAAGGGTCCAAGAGATACCGGCAGTTAGCCTAAACATGACATCTAGCATGGTTTACATCTCAACTACTTATCATACAAAGAAAACATGGAAATCAACAGGATAGAGTCACTAAACGGTGCCATGGAATCACCCAGGAAACAATTCTCACGGTGCACGCGCGCACGCCCGTCACTTGGCATGTGTGTTACCTCAATACTAATCACATAACACATAGTTCGGGGTTTCGAACCCTCAAAACCAAGTTTGGAAGCGTTACTTACCTCAAACCATGCAAAAATCCTACTACGCGACGCCTTTGCCCCTCAAATCTGCCTCCAAACGTCCCAAATCTAGCCACAACCAGCACATTATGATCAATATACACTAAAGGAACCAATTCCAGAAGAAAATGCCAAATTATAACCAAAATCTGAAATCGGCTCAAACCCCGCCCTCGGGCCCACGTCTCGAAATCCAACAAAAGTCACAAAACCGAAAGTACATTCACTCGCGAGTCTAACCATACCAAATTTACTCAAATTCGACAATAAAATCCCATTCAAAACCCGCAAAATCGTAACTCAAGAACAATTCATCTTCTTCCCCAATAACAAATTTAAAGGTAGAATAATGGGATTAAACCAAAATCAAGTGAAACGCTTACCCCAATCACCTCTCTGAAAAATTCCTTCAATAATTTCCCAATTCCGTGGTCTCTAGCTTAAAATATAAAAAATGGGTTCAAACCATCGATTTTGAAATTTAACAATGACGCCCAGATATCCTTCATTGTGATCATGGAAATAGCCACGCGATCGCGAAGCACAAACACACCTCCCCACATTTTTTACTATATGCGAACGCAGAATTCACCATGCATTAGCGAACCACTGCCACAAAAACCTACGTGATCTTGTAGAGCAATCACCTCAGCTCCTCTTCAGCTTTATTACCCTACGTGAATGCGGCACTGACCACGCGGACCTTACACACATACGTGATCGCGTCCCTAACTCCGCAATCGCGTAGAAGAAACTCACCTCTGCCCTAAATAAGCTTAAGCGACCGCGAATATACTCATGTGATCGCGTATAAGGAAACTAGAAGAAAAATACCAGCAGCTATCAGCCATCCACCAAAAGCTAAAAATGATCCGCTAACCACCCGAAACTCACCCGAGGCCCTCAAGACCTCAACCAAACATACCAACACATCCCATAACATCATACCAACTTAGTCGAACCTTCGAATCACTCAAAACAATATCAAAACACCAAATTACCCCCGGATTCAAGCCTAAGAACTTCTAAACTTCCAAATTCCACAAACGATGCCAAAACCTATCAAATCACGTCCGAATGAACTCAAATTCTACACACAAGTCAGAAATGAAACCAAACCTACTCCAACTTCTGGAATTCCATTCCGACCCCGATATCAAAATTTGCATTGCTGGCCAAAATCGCCAAAATTCAAGTTTTCGCCAATTCAAGCCTAATTCTACCACTGGCCTCCAAATTACATTATGGACGCACTCCTAAGTTCAAAATAACCTAACGGAACTAACAGAACCATCGAAATTCAAATCCGAGATCGTTTACACATAAAGCAACATCGGGTCAACTCTTCCAGCTTAAGCTCTCAAATAAGAGACTAAATGTCTTAATTCACTCCAAAACCACTCCGGACCCGAACCAACTTACCCGGTAAGTCATAATTCAGGTGAAGAACACAAGAGAAACAGGAAATGGGGGAGCGGGGCTATAACTCTCGAAACGACCGGTCAGGTCATTACAATTCTATCATAAGATTCTCCCAAGAGCGCAAACCAAAGAGGTTTTTTAACAATTCTCCCACAGCAACTAGTCACTGCAGATGCTGTCTGATATTGTTCTTGAATCGAAACACCATTTTTTAGAACTGAAGCCTCAATGTTATCTTCCACACCTTGCGGTGCTAGGATATCATTAACTTCTTCCTCAAGTTCAGGTTGCACAACAATTTCAGGTTGCTCAACATTACTGCCACTACTTTGGGGTAGTGAAATGTCAGGCAATTGCTTTTATGTATTCTGCTGCCTATTGATATTTCTCTTACTATGATAAGTCATTAGTTACTCCATCGCTTAATTCCTGTAAAACTAGTTTATTTGTAGCAATATGGTTCATTAAATAGTCCTCTTCTAAAATTCTGGCATTTGTCACAACAATTACCTTCTTTGCTTTGGGGAAATAAAATAAACCTCCTTTTTTTCTCTTTGGATATCTAACAAAAATGCACATTTATATCCTCAATTCCAATTCATCCTCTTTCCCTTTCAGCACATGTGTTGGACAACCCCAAACCCGAACATGCCGCGAACTAGACTTGTGCCCAATCTACAATTCTACCGAAGTTGGAGATACTGACTTGGAAGGAACCAAATTTAGAATATAATTTGTTGTTTCTAAAGCATATCCCCAAAAGGAAGAAGGCATTGATCTAACCATTTCCACAGGGGTCTTACTTCTTCGTTCTGCCATACCATTTTATTGTGGTATTCTCGGGGCAGAAAATTGAGATGTAATTCCACAATCTGATAAGTATTTAATGAATTCTGCAGAAAGATATTCACCACCACGATCAGATCGCAATGATTTGATATGTTTATCATGTCGTTTCTCTGTTTGCGTCTTAAGTTCTTTGAATTTGTCAAAGTATTCAGACTTACGACGAAACATATACCTGTATCCATATTTTGAGTAATAATCTGTGAAAGTCACAAAGTACTCAAAACCACCTCTTGCGTGTGTATTAATAGGTTCACACAAATCAGAATGAATTAATTCCAACTTATCACTGGTTCTATTTCCTTTTGAGAAAAAATGTCTCTTGGTCATTTTTTCTTCTTAAAAGGATTCACATGTTGATAATGCCTCCACTTTCAATGAACTCAAAGGTCCATCTGAAACCAACCTCAAAATCTTATTTAGATTTACATGATCTAGACGTAAATGTCACAATTAAGTTTTCCTCAATTCATAAATATGTTTTCTATTATGTGGCAGATTAAGGTTATTTAATTATTTTGGTTGTAGCACACGAGGAGATATATAAAGTATAAAAAGGTTATGTACTCTAGCAACAATGTAGATAAAATATTTATTAAACTTATTAACATCAGAGTTAGCAAAATAAATATTATAACAAGCATCTATATTTTTGAAACCGAAATTAAATTCCTTCAAATAGAAGGTACATAGAGAACATCTTTTAAAACTAAAACTCTATCACTACTAAACGAAACTCCAATATATTCTAATGCTAAAGCTGGTGCTGACTTGACATTGGCTTGAAAAATACAAACTTCATTCTCACTTAGAAGTTGTGTTTCTTGAAACCCTTGCAAAGTAGTGCATATATGATTAGTGGCTCTTGAATCTACACACCAAAATATGGTAGGGACATCCGCTAAACAAGTTTCAATGATATTTAATTTTGAATTACCTTACTTATTCAACTTTTCTAGATAGGCAGGGCATTGGTTTTTGTGATGCCTAGGTTCCATGTAGTAATAGCACTTTCCTTTAGGCTTTTTCATACCAGCAGCCGCACCTCCAGGTGCCAAATCTTGTGAGCCTTCTTCTTTTTCTTAGCCTTTCGGCTTAGAAATCGAAGATTTCTCAATATTCAGTTCCAAAATCGGAGCTTGCTGTTTGATAATAGATTCTGCCGATTGCAGCTCATTCAACGATTTCGCTAGTGACAAATCTATTTTGTTCATATTATAGTTCAAGCGAAATTTTTGAAAACTGTTAGGCAGAGTCTGCACGACCATCTCAACTTGAGATTCTTTATCAATCACAGCTCCAAGGACCTCCAGTTCATTTAGAAGACCCAAAATCTTTAGAACATTGTTCCTAATCGATGACTCTTCGGCCATCTTAGTATTCAAAAGGGATTTTGTGACTGTCTTCTTAGCCATACGATTTTGCTCTCCGAACATCGCTTTGAGACTTTCAAGCATGTCATAAGCAGACCCCATAAACTGATGCTGATGTTGCAAAATATTAGCCATAGAGGCAAGAATATAACATCGAGTCATCTCATTTGCCATAACCGATTTATCATAGGCCTTAGCCTGATCATCTGTAGCAGCTTCATCAGGTTTTTCTCACTCCTCTGTTATTATGAATAAGTACCCTTCAGCAATTAAGACAATATCAAGATTCCTTTTCCGGTCACATTAATTCGGTCATTCTAACTTGTTTTGGTTCAAAATCGAAGTACGTGGGTTGAACGAAGACATGGTTAATCTGAAAGATATTCACATTAAATAGTTCATTAATTATGCAATAATAATAGTAAATTCAAATAATACATCACACATATAACCATGCTCATTGAACAGCTAGATTCGATAGGAAAACTTAACTATTCATGCAAAATATATGAGTCAAGTCAGATAATTTATCCCATAAAGTAAAACAGTACCAACTCGGATGGAGAGTAAACTGTCAATTTAAGATAGGTAAATATCACTTTTATAAACCCTAGTTTCATTGAATCAACATGTAACTCAGTTGGAGATTTAATACGTGTTACCAAACAACTAGAGAAAAAACACAGTAATTATTCATAATGAATCTATCCGATGTGGAAGAAGACATATGTCAATATATAAACTCATTATATTATTGTAAAATATGAATGGTGACCTTAGAGATTGAATCCTACCACCATTGTTTTTGATTTTTTAATTATTAAAAAAATTCAAGAAAATAGTAAAATGGTCAAAAACCCATCTAACGACCACGAATGCCTGGAAAATGACGTAAAATGTGAGAAAAGCTCATACGCATTGCTCACTAATTTGTTTCCGATGAACCTACAAAATTTGAGGTCAATTAAAGTTTGACAGAAAATTAGAACTCCAGAACCATGACCAATCGGCAAAAAATCAATTTTTAGCATTTTAGGGTTCCAAATATTCTGACTTGTTCATATCACATATCATATTTATTTATGTTAATTCATGATTTCAGAACTCAAAATCTTACTTAGAATAGTAGCGGTTTTGTAAAAACAACACTGTTTTTATATAATATACATAACAAACATGTATAATTGAATACCAAGTTTTAAGGTTATTCTATTCATGTTGTATTCTAGTTAGATGTAAGATGACTCTGATATTGTGACGACCCAAAGGGCCATCACCTGTTTCCTCATTCATTCTATGCTCCCGAGGCCTTGAAAACCTCATTTTTACTTGCCTCAATTTGCGTGCACAGTCCGGGCGCGTAGCCGGAAAGCTTTTATGTTGAAATATGTGAATTCCGTGAAAAATTTGAAGAATTTTGATATTAATATGATTATAGTTGACTTTGGTCAACATTTTTGGTAAACGGACCCGAGATTGGACGGTCCCTCCCGGAAGGTCCGTAGAAAAATATGGGACTCGGGCATGTGTCCGGAATCGAATTCCGAGGCCTAGAGCCCGAGATATGAATTTTTCCGTGAAATTATTTTTCTGAAATTATTAAGGAAAATGGAAATAAAAAAATTGGTTAAAAGACTATGGTATCGGGCTCGTATTTTTGTTCTGATGCCCAGTACAAGTCTTAAATATGTGTTAAGCGCTTTCTGTAAAGTTTGGTCGAAATCGGACGTCATTTGACGTGTTTCGGACTATAAGTTCCAAGTTTGAAAGTTTATGAAGTTTAGAAGAAAAATCATGTGTTTTGAGGCTTGATTCAATGATTTTGATGTTATTTTGGCGATTGGATCGCACGAGCAAGTCCGTAGGATGTTTTTGAGGTTGTATGCATGTTTGGTTTGGAGCACCGAGGGCTCGGGTGAGTTTTGGATAGGCATCGGATTGCACTTCTCATGTTTTAAAAATCTGGTATGCTGGCTTCTGCAATTTTCGCAAATGCGAAGGGAAGACTCGCAATTGCGAAGTCTGGGAAAATGGGGCACGATCGCAAATGCGATCAACACTTCGCAAATGCGAAGTCTGGGGAAAAGGCTTGGGATCGCAAATGCGAGGTGGCCCTGGTCGCAAATGCGATCGAATGTTCGCAAAAGCAAAACCTGGCCACCAGACATGGGTTCGCAAATGCGAACTAAGAATGTCACAATTCCCAGCCCTGTTTTGTTCGCAATTGCGAACCATGGTTCGCAATTCCCATATCCGAGGCCCAGCAAATTTTATGCTTAGTCGAATTTTCATCACTTTTCACCATTCTTTCAAAACCCAAACACCATAGGCGATTTTTCAAGAGCAAACTTCATCCCAAATCATTTGTAAGTTGATTTTTACTCAATTCTTTCAATCTTTAACATCATTAAACATGTTTTCCACTTGAAATCAAAGATTTTCATGGGTGAAATTGGGATTTTTGGGTAGAACCTAGGTTTTCCATAAATTGGGGAGTTGGACCTCGATTTAACGTACGATTTCAAAATAAATTTTATATTTGAACTCGTGGGGGAATGGGTAACCGGATTTTGGTTCGAACCTCGAGTTTTGACCACGTGGGCCCGGGGGCGATTTTGGAATTTTTGGGAAAAACTTGGGAAACTCATTTTATGCATCCAAATTGATTCATATAATGTTTATTAAAGTAATTGAGCAATTTGTGATTAGATTCGAGCGAATTGGAGTTGGAACCGCGAGGTAAAGCAATAGTTAAGGATTAAGTGGATTTCAAGGCTTTGAGGTAAGTGTTTGGTTTAACCCTAGCTTGAGGGAATA